TGTACGTATGTATGTGTATGTGTATATGTATATGTATATGTATATGTATATATGTATGTATGTATGTATGTATGTATGTATGTAGGTAGGTGGTTTCCGGAACTTAGCCATCCCTGCTTGGGATTAATGGTCTCACTTTAGCGCAATAGTCCGTGTTCTGCTTCGCACTTGATGATTGTGATGTTAAAGTTTGTTGTGCCATGATTTCCTTGGTGGCCCAACTTCGAACCAGGTATTGTCAGTGCTTCAAGACCATGACAAACATCACGTCGCTGGGAAATGGGTGGATGTCAAACGTCGGCAGCTCAGCGTACCCATCGTGAGTATGTGCCAAGATGAGGGCCCGCAAGCTCTGCCGCATACTTGCACCCTCGAACAGCCAAGCCCACCCCTTTCTGGAAAGTTGTTGTGGCTCTCCTTGGGGAGGTGTCGACCAACAGAAGACTACGTTCCCCTAAATACTTAACCCCAAACCTTCAGCCGTCCCCCTATGCCAAAAACCTTAAGCCCCAAAGCTTGTTCCAAGAAAACCAACTACGCTGTATACGGTATGTCCCAAACCTGCACCCTCAACATGCCCAAGCTGAGGTGCCATTGCGGACTTCCTTCCTGGTCCCAGGAGTGGGGCTAAGGGTTTAGGGTTTACGNNTTACGGGTTTAAGGGTTTAGGGATTAGGGTTTGGGACTCAAATGCTGTGACAATTTCCCTGGACATGTTGGGTTTTTATCAGCTGTGATGAGTCTGAAATCCTAGTATCCCCCTTAAGAACCCCAATGCTAATCCCCTATATAACTCCTCTTAATGAGTGTAGACTATAGCTCCTATTGCCCGAGAATGGAGAATCACATGGAAAAGGGCATCCGGAAAGTTAAATGGAAGTTACTATAGGGTTTAGGATTTACTATGTAAGCATCTATAAGCGGGTAGAAAATAACGGAGAATCAAGTGGAAAAGACAGTGGACAAATGAATTGGAAGCTACTGCTTTCAGGTTACTAGAGGGGTTACAGGGGTGATGTGGGGTTTAGCTAGAGCTATCTAGAATATGCTTCAAACGTGTCCATTTAGTAGGGCTTTATATATGGGGATTAGTCATGTAGAGCGAAGAGAGACAGGCATGGAAGACAAAAGGTGGGGCTTTGTCTAAGTGGCCTGCCTAGAATCCTTCTATACTATTACTATGACTATTACTATTACTACTACTATTACTGTTATTATTTTTATTACTATTACTATCATTATTATTACAATTACTATTAAGATGCGGGTTTAGGCAGAACACCCTTGCAGCCCTATAAAGAGCCTGGATTTAGGGTTTAGGGGTTTAATGTTTGGGGTAGCCCTGTGCCGAGAAACTCTGGGATGGGGAGGGGCTAGCTAACCAGACAGCAAGTATGGTTGCAACCTCTTGTATATGGTGGTTTCCATAAATGAGGCAAGCTAACCTAGGCCCCCAAATAATTTGATCCCTGTTCTGGGGGCACGCAAGAATGGACCACTTATTTTTGGAAACCATCATGTTCCCCCATGTACCCACAAAACACCAAGAGGACTATCTAGCGGGCTACTTACCAGCCCATTTAAGTACAGGGTTTTGAAGGATTTGGAAAGTAGTTATAGACGATGCTACAATACGCCAAAAAGCTGTTATACGTGTAACCCACTGGTAAGGATCAACCAGATGCTTGTGCCGTTGCCCCATCAGGGACAGCTGTGCAGCATACATGCCGTTGCAGCGCAGCCCACTTGAAATCGCCATGTAGATCGTTGGCTTGTTTGGCGACGGCTCCGTTGCACTGACAGATGTGTCGTCAATACATTGTAACATATCATGCTGAAGCATAGAGGGCAGACATTTCATGTCACAGCAGATTGTTTTTGTTCCGAGCACTGACTGCGCAGGACTGCAGTTTCGCCGGAGTTTGCGGTGCCTGCGGCACAGGCTCATCAACCAACATACTTCGGCAGCATCCAACATGTTGGCAGTTTGGGTCTCTTATCACATCCTGTTTTGACGGCCCGGGATTTTTGGTGTTACCTTCGCTCCCCTGGCAACTCCCGCGCAAAAAGAAGAAGGTACCCCTGGTATACTTCAAAGTTATATATAGTAGTTTCCCAAAATAAGGGGACCCCAATATAGACCCCAAAATACTATAGTCCTTATTATTGGGACCCCCAGAAAGGTACCCCTAATTTTGGGAAACCCCCATATAATAATACGATCCCCAGTTTGCAGCTCTTGACTCCTATGAGCCGGTCGCAGCCCCAATCCCTAAAAATGGGAATCCAACAAGGCTCTGTCATTTTTGGATAAGCCTCATTTTTGGGGTTTCCCAAAATTAGGGGTACCCTTTTTGGGGGTCCCCACATTAAGGACTATGGTATTTTTGGGTCACCTTATTTTGAGAAACTACCACATATGGGTAACCTAAACTGGAATCAGTCTCCGAGCAACTGTGCTGCAGGCGCAGACAAGCCCGCAAACCGCAGCTCTTTATGAGCCTTAACTCAGCGTGGGGTAGCCGTTTATCATGGCTTTTCAGGAATTTGGATGAGTACATGTACCTCATATCTGTATACATATGTACATATATATATATATATCTATTTGTTTCGGTTAACATACAGTCTACCATACATGGGGAGGTTTGCACCTGCCGCTGCCCATCATCGGGGCTATAGAACTCTGTTCCGGGCCCCTGTCCCCAACAGCATATCCACCCGGAAGCCGTCAACTTGATTTGGCCGTAGATGCGCTACAGTAATGCTGCGTATATTGATAAACATAATCACATTGATATGATAACGCTCATAATTACAATGGTAAAAAAACGGTTATTATTAATAGTAATCATAATAACAATAAGGATAATGAAGGCAGTAGTAGTAATAGAAACACATAATGATACAGACTAGAGTAAGATGACAATAAAGATAGTGTTGCCAACCTGAGGATCCTTCAAACCAGCCATGCGCCCCAGTGCTTGCACAGCCCCATGCGGTGGCTAAGGATCCACTGGCAGAAGCCGGCTGAAGGGGGACCATTGAACAGGGAGCCTGCAACAAGGTTGAGGGGTTTGGGGGGTTTAGGGTTTAATGTAGACCCATTACTAAACCCCTTCCTTCTAAGGGCCTTAACATTAGGATCCCTATCATAATCCCTATGAAGAGGAGGGGGTTTATTAATCAGGGGTCTGGGTTAGGGTTGAGGGTTAGGGTTGGTTCAGGAATTATATACTGCCCTACGGGCTCCCAGTTACCTAAATAATGGGTTCTGGGTTCTGCCTACCCTATAGTTACATAGCCCGGTTTCCACTATTTAGGCAACTGGGAGCCCTAGGCCTACTCAGGTTCAAGTGGACAAGGTTTAGCTGTGGGGCTGAGGGCATAGGCTCAGAGATTACAGGATCTTGGGCATATGTTTCGGAGTCAACCGCTGCCCACGCAGTATCAAACATCCGAACCAAGATTTCAGTAAGGTGCCGACTTTGATGTAAACACTGTTGCTGGACTTAAGAAAATGGAACACTAAACCCTAAACCCAACAGGTTTAGTTTACGCATTTGGGCTGACATGTTCCGGGCTCCCTGGATGAGACTGTAGGCGTCCCCCAGAGTAGCGTGGAGCCGTTTCAACAAGACACTGGTCGGTCTATGTACTTACCTAGCCAATGGAAGAATTTTCAACTGTTAGGCCTTCCTTATTGGGTCTTTGTATTAAAGTTTGAAGTTTTTTGGCCCTGGTTATTGGGGAAGAGCGTGTAGACTCCATTTCAGGGCTCCATGTTACTTTGGTGGAGGGTAGGCAATTTGGAGTTTCACCTGGAGCGGCCTGCGGGCAGCATGATTTCCTGGATATTCCTGCGTTCTTAAGGCAAGTGGTTCTGTCATGTTGAGACAGCGTGCACATGTTTGAGTTTCTGATTTAGGGATGTTCTTAGGTTCTCCTGCACGGAGGTGCGATGCAGAGAAAAGGATGCCATCGACACTTTTGCACAGGTCTGGAATTTGCTGTGGTGACAAAGCCTGACTCAGGACCAAGGAAGACATTCGCGCTCTCTGGGACAAGCTTGCCGCAGGCTTACTTGTCCAGATATTGTGCCATGTGGGAATTCCTCCGAAAGACCCCAACGTAATCTGTTGAAGGGACCCACATATCCCTGGCGTTCTTATGAGCAGCACCCATGTGAAGCTGTTGTGCAGTGCTCCTTAGGACCCATCCTGCGTGGGTGAAGTCACCGCCAAAGACATGATGCTCGGCCTGTGCGCTTCGTTGCCAGTCAGGGCAGAGTGCATAGGAATGGCAGGCCCGAGGCTGTGGCGACAGGAATTTTGAACTGCACTTTGAGCCGTATTGAGCTCAAACTTCCTTCCAGGGCAATATCCCAAAGGTCCTCAAAAGCACCCCTTGTTGAGAAGTTTGCATCCAGTGCAATTGGAAACCAAGACAGAAGAGCAAGACTTGCTTGAGGTACCATGTCCAGGTAGATGGTTGGCCTGAGCTTGACGGTGCTGACTTGGAGAGAATAGCCGCTCTGGCTGGCTTAAGTGGCATGTTTCATGGGGACATAGTCCCAACACGCAGCAGGATTGTTTTCTGCTCTGGGGTATCGCGCTTCATCAGCAGAATGTAACTTGACTTGGTTCAACCGCCAAAAAAACACTACCCACTTGTAGCCTTGAATCAAGAACACCTCAAGGAAGTGTCCAAGCAATGGGATCCCTCCTTCTCAGTCTATCTATCCTGGCAAGCCAGAGTCGCCTTACACCCCAAATGGTGGTGTAATGTAGGGGCCTATATAATTTATTGTGGTTCCATATTCCTTGTATAGTTATACGTATATGTTACCTCAAGTGGACCTCAAAAGCAAATTGGTAATTATTTAGGCCCCTATAGTACATATGGGACATCAACTCACAGGTGCTCCACTTCAAGTCTCGTGAGTTCTGCTACTTTGCCAAAGTACGTAGCCGATGTAGCCGCAGCCTCTTGGTAAGGCTTCGCCTTCCAGACACCTGATGCTCAGAAACACTACAACATCCTACTATCTTGACATGTGGGCTTCTTGAGGCCATACTGTTCACGGTGCAGGGGTCGGTTTGGGATTCAGGACATGGTTCCACTTTGACATGCCGGCTTCCGCCCATCTACGCCTCACTTATGCAAGCAGTCCGTTTGCTATGTCCGCGCAAGCACATCTGCTCAGCTCGCAGCCGTCCTTAGGTCATACCACGAAACCAGATGTACTGTGGGATATCTTCCCATAGACCCCAAACCGTGTGACCTGGCCACAGCATCTTTGGACTCCTGTGCCAAGCAAAGCTCTGGGCCAGGCAACCATCATCAATTATGCTGCTGTGGCTTGCTCAGACTTGGGAAAATGTTGTAGGATCCTCCATGGTTTCATGGGCAATCTCGGGTGTTTTAGAATGCCATTGCTGGGCGCTCTCGTGGGAGACACGCCGTAGGGATAATTGCATGAATTTCCACATAAGATCCTCTTCAGAGGAACAGCGTCATTTGGAGGTAGTTATGTCTGAGGTCTGCTACAGTTACATAAGAACTCCGCGGAACGTAACTCGCAGCCGAGCCAATGACTGACTGTATTGGAGGGTGGCACGTGATGCACGGATTTGGATTCTTGTAGTATCCCTTTCTTAATTCGCAGGAGAAGTCCCAATACTCATTTTCTTCATTCCCTACTATCCACCAGCAAGAAATCACTAATCCCTAGGTCCAATACGAAATCCCTGAGTCCTCCGAGTCCTAATCCCTAAGTCCAAAAATTCCCCTATTCCCCTTCACAGGGTCCTATCATCAGCCCCTTCTTTTTGAATCGCTAAACCCTAAACCCTAATTAGAGGTCAAGCGGCTTCGGACCAGTGGCAACTGGTACAAGATCTTCAACTTGGTTGACAAGGCGTGGGTGAATAGGTTTAGGGTTTAGTGGAAGTAGGTAGGGAACAAACCAGGCTAGGACCAGATAATGGCCTGAAACCCGAAACCCTAAGCGCAGGTAGTGTGCTATAACTTCTTACTGTTGTCATGTTGGATAAGTCAATATACCCAGGTGGGCAGCAGCGAGACATGCAGACTCCTAAGCCCAAAGCGCTAAATGAGAACAGGCAGTCTCCCAACACAAAAACCCGGAACCAGGATCTTTAGCAGCGATGCCTTAAAATACAAAATTCCCCAAGTAGGGGGGCCCCAATATAGACCCCAGTCTACTATAGTCCTTGTTATAGGGTACCCCCCCATAATTTTGGGAACCCCCAAAATATCACATATTACTTCTGTGCGTATGTGCCTAAATTCCCTAGGATGCCTTAAGCTGAGAAAGCTCATATGGGGGTTTCCCAAGATTAGGGGTACGGTTCGTGGGGGTCCCCATTAGAATCATTAGAAGGAGTATACCATTTTGGGGTCTATATTAGGGTCCCCTACTTTGGGAAACTACCATATAAATCCAGCGGCTTAGCACACTGCATGTAGAGCCGTTTCGCGTCCCAGCTGCATGCATCTTGTGCGGGTCTGTGAGTCGTCCGAGGAACTTCTGATTATGGAGGTAGCATCTATCGAATTTCTTCCAAATATGCTAGGATCCTCTTCGGCATGAAGACAGTACCAGACAGTACCCACCGGCTTCGGCATGAAGACAGTACCAGACAGTACCCACCGGTTGAGAACCTTTTTTTAATCTTCTTTGCGAGGTTCCTGGAAATTCCTTGTGTAACCGTTGTTTAGCCTTGAGCTGGCCACATGCATGCGAGAAGAGATCAAACAAGTAAGCCCTCAGCAAACTTTTATTGATTTCTTTACGTTTCGCCAAAAAAATCCTGGTAGCACCTCCCAAAAACGGGGGCCAGAATCCTAATCCCTGCGCATGACCTTGTACACATGGACTTGTCTCAAACATGAACCCTTTTTTGGTATAGATTCTAGCATGGCACTTGGTACTTGGCGGTACTAACATGGCATTCCAAGTGGGAGTCAAGCCTCCAATCCTCCAAGAAGAACACTGTAAACCGTAAACCCTACACCCTAAACCCAACATAAGCTCAGGGTCCACCTCCCTTTTGAGAAAAGCCCAAACAAAGCACCCAAGGCTGATAAGCTTGAGGTCTCCGTCTTAAAGCATGAACCTGATGAAAGGATCCTATGGCAACTACCCAACAACCTCAGGCGACCATACTGTCCCCTTGCGATCCTGAAAACTAGAACTCTGGGTTGGATGCCTGTAAACCCCACTCCAATTAAGAGGCCCCTAGCCCTGGACTACATCCCTGCACCAACCACTTGAATCCGCGTTTCGATTTCAATTTCAATTTGGTTCCCTGAAATATTCTATGTAGATCTTTTAGAAGTATCCACCCCTTCCCAACATTTTGGACGCCCGAGAGCCTAAAGCTTTCAACCCTAAACTCTAAACCCCAATAAATCCCTAAACCCTAAACCCCTAACCCTAAACCCCTAAACCCCTAAACCCTAAACCCCCAACAAATCCTACACTACCCCAGTTCATGTGCAGGGCCAATCCGGCCGCCTCAGCTTCGGAGGCCTCAAAGAGGTGGTGAGGGACATGTGGCAACTGCCTCAACCGTTTGGGGCTTTTGCGGGGTGCAGGATTTGAAGGGTTCAGGGTCGGTAGCGTTCAGAGTTTGTAGGGGTTGGGATGGTGGTTTAGGCAGAACATCCATGTGAAACATGGAAGGCGTAAAGTATGGGGGGTGATATCAAGACGACTATAGGTCCTGAGTGCATCCGGTTCTTTCTTCCCTACTATCGATCAGCAAGCCTATCTAAATACCCTGAACCGTCAAGGGATCCCCGTGACAAACTGAGCAATCTAACCTTCAACCCCAAAGAAATCTTGATATGAGCAACTGTAGTTTAGTTTCGTACAGTCCCTAACACAGTCCCTATAATAAGAAACTCATCTCCATTAGATTGTGTAGTAAATAGTTACTGTAGCTCATGTAAGCCGCACAACCCTAAATCTGCCCACCATCACGGGTCACTCGCGCAAAGGTACGGACTGGCTATCCCGCCTGATCAGATCACCGACTTCGACTTGAAGGGCCTCTGGAAGGCAGCCAGTGCACCTTCAGGAACTCTGAGTGTTGGAGTGCAAATTGACCCCAGGGATCCAAGTATACATATTATACCTACATGGGGCCCTAAAGTCTGTAAATATTCCGAACTCCCTACATGGGGCCATTTGGATCCCAGGGGTTTAGGGAAGCTTTGAAGCTTGTCTGCAAGCTCCAGGCCAACCTCCAAAGACATGCAGACTTTACTGGCCTTTAGTTAGCTGGGAATGAAGGAATGGAAACAAAAATGGAAGCATTATGATTGGTTATGGAGGGACTACTACGAGGATCCATTCGTGCATTCCTAGCTGACCAAAGACCAGTTTAGAGAAAACATCAAAAACGGACAGCTGAGCTGAGAAAACCCTTGTCTGCGCTGAAGCGGCAATGGGTGGGAGGGGCCGCAACGCATCTTTGCCACACAGCGCACCGAAAAGAAGACTTACGCGAACTATACTCTTCAGCGCAATCATCAAGACATGCTAGGAGACCAACACTCACGACAAATCATAGGTGTCCATGACCATGGTACTTCGCAGCACGTACCAGCAAGCTTGCAGAAGGCCTTGGATGAAGACAAATCCAGCACGGTCAGCGTTGGCGAGTTTATGGCCGCAGGCTTACTTGGAACTTTCTTGGCAGGCGCTTTTTCAGGGCTCATGGTTTAGGATAGTTCTCCTGTCCACTGAAATTTCAGACGTTGGGCTTGGAGCCTCTAAGGCGACGGTCGTCGTGTTAAGTTACGACATTCAACATCATGAGTCGTGCTCCAGATTGTTCCCTAACCTACTGCCAGCTATATGGCTGCTAATCAAACATGTTCTTGGGATAATCTCCAACATGGACCCCTGCATTCCAAAACCTACTGTAGGGTCCTTCAGGGCATCTGAGGGCTGAATTTGGACAAGCTTCACACCATGTCAGCCCGTGCCGTAGCTTTGCACCTTCTGCGAGAGCAGACTCCCCAGCGACCCCACTACTCCGTAGCTTCCTAACGTTTTGGCGGTTTCCAAAGCCCTTTGAAGGAATCTTTCTCACATAACATTGTAGGATATGGGGGTCTATATTGGAGCCCCTTGTTTATGGAACCCAAATTCCTCAAAGCATGCTGGGCCTTTGCACTATTAAGCTTCAGAGCAGCGATGCGGCTGCTTCAAGACCTTAAATAGGCTTTTTCAGATCCTTGAACGAGGCATCCTGTTTTCGCCGCTTCTGGCTCCCACACCATCCTCCCTCAAACGGGTGCAGTAGTGTGAAGAAGTCGAAGTTGTGAACAGTTCTGGCTACCGAGGTTTTCATGCGACGTTATGGGGCTCAGCACAGCATGCACAAGTCTTCCCAGAGCAAGATGACATGCATCTTGGCCATCATTAGCTCGATTTGCAGAAGTGCCAGTGCCAGAGCAACTGGGTATTGCCCCCACTTAGTAACAGTTGGATAATAATCCTTATAATATGACCATATAGAGCCCTTTCTATGACCCCAATTACAGACTGTTAGCCCTAAACCGTAAAACTCTCTATATATATAGATATATATATATATATAGATATATATCTATACATATATATATACATATATGAAGAGCCCTTAATCTGACCCCTATTATAGACTGCTAATGAGTGGGGGCAGGAGCCAACAGAGCCAAGGTAGTGTCATCTCCGTGCAGCCCTCAGAGCTAGCATGCGCAACATGAAGCCAAGTGAGCTGCATAGCGTTTAGGGCTTTTGGTCTAAAATCCTTAGAGGGAGTTCATACAGGGGAGTCTTATACGGGCTAGTAAGGGGGATACCAGGAGTGTGGACTATAGCACTTGTGACGCTTGGTAGGCCATGGGGGTCAACATGAGCGTCTCCCTGCATACCCCCATGCCTCGTTTCTGCACTGAGCGGAGCCCCAAATCGAACCGAGAAACCCCCAGGTTCATTGATTCACATCTATAGGAGCTGCTGTCAATATTCTCTCTTGCTAAAACCCTAAGCCCTAAACCCCAAGCCCTAAATCCTAAGCCCTCAACCCTCAATCCTAAACCCTAAACCTTATTGGATTTATGACAGCCTAGTGGAGTGGCCTCCGTCAGGAAGAAGATGAAGACCTCAAGGAGCAGATCGCGAATGCACCAGTCGCGCTGCTGCAGACACAGTGTTGCCAATATGGGAGGTTAGGGTTTAGGGTTTAGGGGTGTAGGGTTTTGGGGTTTTAGGGTTTTGGGGTTTAGGTTTTAGGGTTTGGGGGTTTAGGTTTTAGGGGTTAGTGGTTAGGGTTTAGGGTTTAGGGAGGTTAGGGACCCCTCAGAATCATAATCCTGTTGAGGTCCCCGATAAAATAGGGGAGTATTATATAGCTCATTAGGGTGGATACTAGGAGTTTTTAGACTGTAGCCAATATGGGAGGTTGGGGACCCCCCTTAATCCTGTTGAAATCCCCATATGGTGATTTCCCAAAATAGTGACACCCTCCATATAGATAATCATTATTGATTACGGGGACCCCCAAAATATAACCCTAATTTTGGGAGGCCCCCATGTATCCCTAGGGCCCCTAAGGGCCCTCTACTTGCAGAAGCCCCCATATCCCTGGAAGCCTCTGCACCAAGGCATTAGATGCCGCAGCCTCAGTATACACGCATGTGTAAATGTTGTGGTGGTCATATACGCACATACACTTACATATACATGTGTATGTATATATATGTATATATACATATTTATATATACACACATGTGTGTATAACAGTGTCTATACGTAGGCCTGCATGTAAATCTGAAGGTATGTGTGGGAACGAGGGATACTTGTGTTTCCATATGTACAAACATGTACATGTGTATCACTGTATCTATCTACACATATACATCTACACATGTATACACATGCATATAGATGATCATACATGGTACCGCTAGTTCACCAGGCGCATCAACTTGCTTCTCTGGCGACCAACTTGACGCGCTGACCTCGATGCAAGGGGATGCACTCCAACTCTCCAAGCTCTAAACTCTATAGTCCCCCTCAAGTAGGTAGAATATGGGGGATATATTGGAATAACGGAAGAGAAAATGGAAAATACTATTTAGGGTTTGGGGTTTGGGGAGTATAGTCCCCCTTAAGTAGATAGAGTATGGCTTTGGGTATATTATAATAACATCCCCATATACCCCATATTCCATCTACTTAAGGGGGGGCCATATCCCTCGCAACTTGACATGGAAGCCCAAAATGGGCCCTACATAGACTGATGCCTTTTTCAAGAGGGCGGGGGGGAGGGGGGGGCATACGATAGTTTGCAAAATAGCGGTGGTTCCAATATAGACCCCCAAATACTACTGTCCCTCTTATGGGGACCTCCAAAAAGGCACCCCTAATTTACAGAAACCCACTATGGGGTTCCATGTTATTTTGTGGAGGATGTCCTTGGACTCCTATGTAACGCCTCCTTTGGGACGGTTGATGGTTTAGCCAGGGTTTCAGGTTGTCTCAACACCCACCAAAAGAGGAGCTACACAACAGGCTCTGGGCAAACCTAGCCCTGAAGGGCAGTAGCATCGTTGCGAAGGCTGGGCGTCCACGCCTGGCTATCGCGCACAGGGGTGGCAGCCTTGGCATAGCAAGCACTGACGGGATAGTCAAGATCTTAGGGAAATTCCATTGGGGGAATATTCGGGTTATATTGGTGTTATATTGGGATAATGGAAAACAAAATGGAAACTATTCTATTGGGGGGCCTGAGTTTGAGAGTTCAGGGTCCTTATTCCTCCTGTGTGGAGCCTATCTTGCAGGCGTACACCACGATGTTGGTTGAAAAGAGTTCTACAGTCTGCAGATGGTAAAGGGTTTTAGGTGTGAGGACGACTTTTGGTGCTAAAGTTTAAGGCCCCCTCAATATACTGGTTTCCATTTTATTTTCCATTATCCCAAGATAACACCAATATAACCCCAATATTCCCCAATGGAATTTTTTCCCTAAGAACTTGGAGGCAAAGCAGTGGATTGCTAAGTCCGGTCATATCTGACGTATGTCCTCATTCGGGTGCTACACCCGTTCTTGCCAATTGACAAGCCCTTTCTCCTAGTACCTTTCAACTAATGTTCCCAAGATACTACGCTCAATACAATAGGGGGAACGTTCAATATTAGCCGGGGTTGGAGGTCGAGTATCAGGTGGATCAAATGATGTAGGGGGCCCATCCTCAGCCGATCAAGAATCCCCCAAAACTTCAAGAATCCCCCAAAACTTCATCAAGAATCTCCCGAAAAGGCTAACAGCCTGACCGGCCTAATCCTTCAATACTAAGCCTCCGAACCTGAAGCCCACAGCGGAGTGGGTCATTCTTGGAATAGTTGTCGGTTGTTGTCGCACTGAGGCTCAGTAAGGAACAGCACTATTTGAAACAGTATCAACCCTATAAACCCTAACTCCAAAAGGAACCAGTCAAACCCTAAAACCACGGGACCAGGCGGACAAAGGCGCCTATGCCGGATCACTGCTTTGGCCGAAGTTCGTAGAAGCCAGTGAATGCTCCAGGCGCGAGGTTTGGGGGATGAGCAGTGGGGGTTCGGGAAGTGTAGGGCTGTAGGATTCGCTAGTTTCCCAAAATATAAGGACCCCAATATAGATACCAAAATATTTCAAATCCTCAGTAAAAAATAGAAGGACCCCAATATAGACACCGAAATACTATAAGTCCTCATAGAAATATAAGGACCCTCGAAATCCTCATAAAAATATAAGGACCCAAATATAGACCCCCAAATACTATAAATTCTTATGATGGACCAGTAGGTACCCCTTACTTTGAGAAACCCCCATTTAGGGGTTAGGAGCAGGTGCTGGCCTTGGAGATTGATAGCTTGAAGCCTTGCTGTTGGAGGGTTTAGGGGTTGTATAGGGATAGTGGAAAAGAAAATGGAAACTACTATATAGGATTTAGGGATCAGGGTTTAGGGTAGATACTGGGGTTATAGTCCCCCTTGAGTAGATAGAATATGGGGGTTATATAGGGATGGTAAAGAAATGGGAACTACTATTTAGGGATTAGGGTTTAGGTTTAGGGTAGGGCTTACATAGGGAGATATAGGGATAATGGAAAAGAAGATGGAAACTACTATATAAGGGTATATAGGGTATACAGGTGTATAATGTTATAGGTTAGGTGGACCCCGCACCCAGTAATAGCAATGACTAATTATAAGGGATAATGAGGATTATAGTCCGGTCGTCTTATATTCCTATTACACCATTTTTGCAGTGTGGGGTGTCCTCCTAAGGCATAGGGTTTAGGGGTTTAGGGCCGGCTTCAAGGGATTTAGGACGCTATATCTGTGCTGTCGCTGCAGGATGTTGTATACTGCCCACTTCCAGGTTCCTCAAAGTGGCTACCCCCAACATGAGTCGGTCCACTCTTGGGGCTGTAAGGTCTGGCAGCCTGGGAAAGTTCGTAAGGCAAGTTGCGGGATCATTGTTTAACAGGTTGGTGGAGCTGGTATGGTGTCACTTCTCTGAGCTCGAAGAAATGGCTCTGTTGCACAATCTTGAGAAATCCCCACCATACTCCCTATACCAGTCTAGGATCTGCACGGGTATCCCCCATGTCAAGATGCAAATATCCCTAAACCCTAAACCCAATGCATGAAGTGCCTCGATGACCTTTTACTGTTCGAGAAAGCTCGCGACAGCAAGGCATGGACGAATGAGGTTTGCGGAGTTCCGGAAGATGGTGGCGCAGGTGGCACGCAGTTTCTGCTGCAGCCATTTTATAGTAGAACATGGTAGTGTAATGTTACAGTATATTCAGATATATCAAAATATTTTAGCATATTGTAGCATATTCCGTCTAGTTTGGTGTTTAGGGTTTTCGGGCTTAAGGGTTCTAACTGTGTGCGGGTCCAGACGCAGAGAGGGTTTAGGGACTTTCCTGGAGGTCTAGGGGATTATCTAGGACTTCGTAGGCGTGATATGGGGTTCTGCATGAATAAACCCCAAGATAGAGACTATTAAGTTCTAACCGTTCCTGCCGTGTCAGGACTTCAAAAAGAGGCCCTGATTTTCGGAAACCCGAATCCTTGTAAACCACTATAGAACCCCAGTTTCCGTTTGGTTTCCCATTTTCGTTTTCATCTGACTTTCCATGATTGGTAGCTCTTTAGGCCAAAGCCCCTACATTGCCGTGGCCAGGTACTGCGTCCACCACCAGCACCAGAGCACCTCATGGCCTTCTGGAGGGAGGTGGGATGAAGTATGCGGTTTTTATTTCGGACTCATAGTTTCTCTAAGCATTGTGTAGGTTTTTTTGGGGATTTAGTAGGAGCTGTGTAGAACGAGATTCCTCGAGAAGGGTGATCTAGGTGTCGATCGGTGAGTACACTGAAGCGCTGCAGGTGCAATGCAGATTGCAGCACCTGACCCAATGAATTGAAGCATGCTGCACTGCAGTTGGAAATTTCTGTGCTTGTTTTAGATTACTGCGTTAATACTGCTGCTGCTAATGCTACTACTGCTATTCTTTCTGCTACTGCTACTACTACTACTACTACTACGACGATGATGATGATGGTAATTATGCCTTGCTAGACAGGTATCCAGAAGGGGTTGGGAGTCTGCTTTCAAGGTGAGGTCTTGGCCTGTAGTTCCAGTTAGTGGTACTCATAAGGGTAATAGCAATAGTATTAACAATCGTAATTATAATAGCAACAAAAATAGTATTCCCATTTTATTATAGTAGTTTCCATCTTCTTTTCCATTCTCCCTATGTAGCCCCAATATACTAATAGCATCAAAGCCTCTCAAAACAGACCCGCGGGGACCTAGGGATATATAGGGGATTGTATAGGGGTTATAAAGGTAGGGTGGAAAAGAAAATGGAAGCTACTATTTAGGGTTTAGAGTTTAGGAACAGACCTGTGGAGACCCAGGATTGTGGGAGTTTCTGAATGGTGGGGCCACTCGCAACGTACTCCAAGAGTACACAAAAGAAAGCACAACAATTTCAGTCCAGTTCTGGCAAGTATGAAGTCCCTCCGAGTACCCTTAATTGGGGCCTTATATGACCTGTTTTAAGTAAGTATTTTGGCCCTAGTAGAGGGTAGGTGGAGGGTCTAAGAAGCAAATCATTGTCCCAAACCCTAAACCTTAAATCCAAAATAGTAGTTTCCATTTTCTTTTCAATGCCCTGCACATGTCCAGGTGGATCAGGAAGGTACGGGTGAGGTCACTGCTGTCCACTTCGACAACGCAGTCTACCGGCTACAGGTGCGATCCTGTAGCAAAACTGAACAGGGTTTGGGGTTTGGGGGGGTCAAAACTGTAAACGTTAATGACAGCGACTGCATTATAATGTTGAGCAAGTGATTGCAATTTGGACGAACTACCAAATAGGGAGGAACCAGAGATTCTGGCATGAGGGAAGATTTAGAAGGACCCCCTCCCTGTAATAGTGGTATAATAGGGATATAATAGGACCCTAATATAATCCCTATTATCCCTTATAGTCACTATTACAGGGTGGGGGGTCCTCCTAAGGGAAGATGATACGAACTTACAAGGGCCATCTCGGGCTTGCAGACGAGGTCCTCATGCCACGTTGTAGCCTGAATGTTGCGTAGACATCTACATCAAAGTTTTGAGCCCAGCCTTCACTGAAAAGCCTGAGCCCAGAAGATATGTAGGGGCCTAAATATTTATCACTATAAAGGAGTTGGGGTTTAGAGATTCATGTTGAGCTTTGCGGACTTAACTCAGTATACGGGATATTTATCCAAATAATGGAGAATCAAATGGACAATTGAATGTCAACTGGGATTATACAGTGGTGTATACCCTATGGGTTTCCCAGGTGGATACGTGGCCTGAATTGGACGAGCAGGGTGTTGCCCTCGGGAGAGACGGTTTGCACAGATATGTTTCAAATTTCCGGGAAAAGCGGCGCTGTTTTGAAGAGGTATTGGCCTGTCCAGCTGAGGTATTGCACCAGCCACATAGTGACACACAAAGGGCAATAGACATGGTGCAACGGTCTGACAAACCTGATATTCCCACTCTGTATGTTCCTTCGATATTTGGCTTGCTTGGCTTGTATTTGGAATCAGGCTTACAAACTTTGAAGTTTATAGCTGTTGTTTGCTACTTTAAATGGAAGGAGGCCTCTACTTCGATATTGGGCCTGCTTGGCTCGTATTTTGGAACCAGGGTAATGGAAAAGAAAATGGAAACTACTATAATGGGGTTATATGGTAGTTTCCCTAAATAGGGGGACCCCAATATAGACCCCCAAATATTGTAATAAGCTTACGAACTTTCATTTGTAAAGCTGCCGTTTACTATGAATGGAAGGAGGCCTCTACAATATTGTCAAGGATTTGTATGCTTTGGACACATTCTATCTGGAGTTGTTCAAAAGCTCCTACAGAATCCTACAAAGCGACACATGAACCTCCTTGCTTACAGTCCCGGAATCACCAAGACTGCCATGCGTGGCCATAACCCCAGAAATCTGCCAAACGATCGACGTTCATCCTTCAACCTGAAGCCCTGGATCCTTATAGTCCCCCTTAAGTAGATAGAATATGGCTTGGGCATATTATAACAAGATCCCCATATACCCCATACTCGGTCTACTTAAGGGGGACTCAATCCCCTAACTCCTAGACCCTGCTTGGGAGCCATTAACTTGGTGCCCGAGGCATCTTCCGTGTCATTAACATCCTGAACGCTGCGGCAGATAAGTTTGGGGCCTAGCGGGGTTGGGCTCCTTTTTTTTTTAGTTCCTTCATACTAGCTATTAGAATCAGATGAAGATGAATAGACTTTTGAATCGGCTTGGCTGTGTGGTTCTCAGCGATGTGGATTGCATATCTCAAAAAAAGCAGCTGTGGCCTAATGGCAGAAGGACACCCCTTTTCTTCACCCCCACCAACACAACTACATTGGGGCTTCGCAAACTTAGAGGCGCCTCCCTGGAAGTCCCCATAATCCTATAAGGAAGGACTGTATAGCATTGGATTTATGTTGTGCGCCCCCAGGAATGGAAACTGCTACATCTACAAGGTAATGAGACCAGAACCGGCGTGCACCTTGACCACTGAAAGCCCTGCGATTCAGGACACCTGGAGGCTAAAGGTTTTTAATGTTTGGAGATCAGACTGAAAACCCTGTGAGCGCCGGATGCCTAAGACCTCGAAGGATGCTCAAAAAATCTGGGTGTTGGGAGGAGAGGTGGCCTCCAAAAGCAAAGGCTCTTTAGTCCTTCAACAAACCCACCTCTTCAAACGAGCTTTCTGGGCAGCACAACGTCGCACAAGCCGGCACTCCGAAATCAGTTACGGCCGGGGTGCCGGAAATGTGCAAGCCGTAGCGAAAAGGTCGGAGCTATGTATTTACTAGGTGGAAAAGAGGATAATAATTCATTTGTCCTGGTGTTTCATGCAAGGTTCTGGTCATAGACAGTTTTGGGGCATTCTGGGGCCTGGCTCACTTGGTAGCTGTCGAGACTCACTATCGCCTACTTAGCTGACGCACAGACTGCCTCAGTATCGCACATGCAGTTTTTTTGTGGAAGTGTCCGAAGACATGTTGGGGCAAGGGGCCCTCTGCTTTTGAGACATGGCCGTTTCAGGTTGAGTTCATCTAAAATGGTATTATGCTTAGCAAGGCGTCACTTTCGTTTTATCGGAAAGGCAGTTGCATTTTTGACGCCACTATGTTTGACCCTAAGCTCCTTAACCTAAACCGAGTGGCTTCACACAGCGCTTTGAAGATTGAGGTGGCACCGGTCCGCGGGGAACTGGTACAAGGTGTTTCTGGTGCCCATCTCAGCCTGAGCGCAGCAGACGGCAGTTTGGTCTGCATTGTTTGCTGCGGATACTAGCATAGGAACCACGTGGCAAGAATCACGGGCTGACCTCCTTTGGACCTGAGGCTTCTAGGGGGTTGCAGACACCATATGGGTAATGTGGGGACGTTGTTTCGGTTACCTTGGGTTAAATGTGGGGCTGTAGGAAGAGTCCCTTGAGGTATACAACTCACGCTGGGATTGTGCCATCGAGAATCGAGTGCTCAAGGCGATAGACATTCCCACTGCCATCCACATACTTGTTCATTGTGGTTATGATGGTTCTTATGGTTGTGATTATTCATAAGCTATCGCTATTCTTGCCAATCATATGTGCTGTTCTCAGTGCTATTACTACTAGCTACCGACCCTGGGTTGCTGTTCAGGGACTTAGTTTCAGTACGGTCTATAGGGTTTAGGGGTCGCCTTGAAACAGCTTACATTAAACCATGATGTGGATCTGTAGCAAATGATAGGGCTCCCCATAATGGGAAGATACACATGATACTAAAAATCCTGCATGACCTTACTATACTATAGTCCCATTCTTTCCAAGGTATAAGGTATTTAAGGTCATGCAGGATTTTTAGTAGCCACCGTAGTGAAAAATCAGAGAGCTCCTGACAGGCCCTTCGGCCCCCATCGTTCCTCAATGTGTTGTCTTCTTTCGTCTGGGCAAGTTACAACAACCTCGCCGGACCTCACCCCAAAAGGTGGCTCACATTCGAACAAATAAGGGTTTGGGTTTAGTGTTTAGGGGTTTAGGTTTTTAGGGTTTAGGGTTTAGGGAGGTTGTGAAGCTAGTTCCTTACTGCTCTTCAGGTCCTGAGTAGATTTTGCAATGGCCAGTTGGCATTAGGCTTGACAGGGACCTTTATGGTTTTGATCCCTACTAGGGGAAGCGTAATACAGACTCCCCAGAATAGCATAATCCTCATTATGGGGATCCCCCAAAAGGTATCCTTGATTCGGGGAGACCCTAAACCCTAAACTCTATACATCGCTTTGTAACCCCAAATAACCCCTAGTATAACGTCCTTTAAAGGCACCCGTAATTAAGGGAGCCCTCCATATGTCAGAGACCCCGGCATGAGCCTGCAGACTTGTTTCCAGTCGTTCTACAACATGTCTAGGGCTTAGGGTTTAGGGGTGAATCTCATGGTTTTCTCAAACCTAAACCCAAAGCTCTGGACCCCTAAACTCCTAAACCCCTAAGCCCTAAACCGTGTGGCTGCAGCTTGAAGTGTCAACTTCTCGAGGTTTGGCTAGGGAAGGACCCCAAAATTACGAGCATCGCGCGTTTTGGGGTGGGGTTTAGGGTTTTGGATTGAGGGCTCAGGGGCATTGCCACCCTCCAAAAAGTTAATAGTGATCTTTTTTTCGGGTTCTTATTACCAGA